GCATCCTCATTTGCCCGAGCAGCGAGCAAGAGTGCAGACACCCAATTTATGCATTGCCATTCACGCAAATGGAGCTGCACTGCTTGCATGGAACCATCCCCTCTCCCTCCCCCACCCGTCGGTCCACAGACTCAGAAATGTTGGGGAACTCTGCTCCAGGTGGAGTACAGAATAATAAAAATGCAATATAAAATATCAATGCAATAGTACACTCTGTAACACAATTATAATGCTACAAACATTATTTTAGCTGCTTAATTGTATAAAAGTCCTTTTTAGAAAATCTAAGTTTAACATGTGCTCCAAAAAGCTTTAAGAGTGAGGGTAAAGGTCTTTATGGAACCTATCAAGTCACTAGAGATTTTCTTAACGACATATTTGGATCATAGCCAGTTTTAATAACATGGTTTCAAGGAGAAAATGCATTCTTTAAATAGAAGATAAGTGACAGGTTGTTACTCCAAGAAGGCACATTACAAAATGTACAGAAGCATTTTTTTCAAAAATAAATGCAACTTCGGGAATGTCAGAAACAACCATATGGTAAAACGTTTATGAAAGAATTCTTATGAAGTTTGCAATCGTACAAAATGATGTATAAAGATAGAGCTTATGCTAGCAAAAAGTAGGCCATGGTTAAATACAATAGGTATAGCAGGTGCAAGGGTCTTCCTGGGAGGAGGAAAGGAAATGTATTCTGTTTAGGCACTTCGGATTAGCTGATTGAGATGAGCAGGTGGGCTGTTGAGTGCGTTAGGGGTGGGGGAAATCAGCTTCGTGAAAGGGTATAAATGTATGCTGTTGAAAATTGTGTGTGTGGCTTATTCTCCTGCGTGAATTAAGTCCACCAGCCTTTAGAAATGTTATGTTCCAATAAAACTTTGTTCCTGGAATCCCAAGTGAGTTTGTTTGTCTTTGGAATCCTGAGCCATGTTCCAGTCACTATTGACTTTCCGTATATGATCAAACAGCTTCATTGTGTTTCTTTCATGCTGACCATTTATTTATTTATTTGTAAAATGTATTGGTCTCTCATCTTACCATAGGGTAACTCTGGGTGGTTTACAAACTTAAAAAGAGAAAAACTATACAAAAGCTAAACTATACAAAGCTAAAAGACATAAATAAAATACTATGACGAACCAACTATTGTGGCGCAATTAAAAGATGGGGAGGGCAGGAGCAGGATGGGAGCGCATGAGGTCTGTTATTAATTGATCAAATACCTCCATTGTGATGCTCCCCGCACTGGAACCCCAAATCAACTGGCAGAGCCAGGTCTTCAGGCTCTTGTGGAAGATCAGGAGGGGTTAGCCGACCTCACTCCAGGGGGCAAGATGTTCCAAAAGGCAGGAGCCATAGCAGAGAAGGCCCTCCTCTTGGATCCTGCCAGCCAGGACCCTCAGGCCAATGGGGCCTGCAGCATGCCTCCTCTGCTGGCATGGGTTAGGCAGGCTAACCCCATTGGGATGAGTAGTATTTGATTTATTCGGCGCTCATACATTCCTGATCCTCTCACTTCTTATTCCACAGCATACAGTTCTTTACCACCCTATTGTCCCTGCATTTAACTTGCAAGCCTAGCCAATCACATTAATGACTAGAACAGGGATAGGCAACCTTGGCTCTTTTATGACTCGTGGACTTCAACTCCCAGAATTCCATGCTGGCTCAGGAATTCTGGGAGTTGAAGACCATGCGTCATAAAAGAGCCAAGGTTGCCTACCTCTGGGCTAGAACAATCCCAGTCTAGCTTGGGTGCTTGCCTTGATGACTAGGCTGAGCCTTTTTTCTTCAGTTGTCTCTTGAAAATATATAATTTTATGTTAAATACTTTTACTGAATTATACATTTTAAAGATTGGTTGATCTTTTCCTTGAAGTTGGCAGAGTCAGTTAGGTGATGCTTAAAAAGAAAATTCTTCCATTTTTCACCTTTGAGCTCTTTGAATTTCCTTGGTTCATTTACAAGAAACTTTGCTACTTTATTTTGTCTTTTAGCATAACAAATGTTGAAACACGTGACCATGACTCAAACTGTTTTTCTTTCCATTATATTCAATTTCTCTTGAACTAATGTTTGGAATATCTTGCTGGGTTTTAGTCTACTGCTGTGCAGATAGTTAACTGTGGAGGGGTGGGAAGAAAATCAAACCTTCCCTTTCCTTCAGTTTCCCTTGTTTCCCAGGCAAGGGTGCTTCATACTCATTTCCAGGACAAAATGTGAAAAATGATGCAAAAACAACAAAAGCTAATAAAGAGATTGAAGAGATTGAAATTGGCCGAAGGCAATAGCTCATTCAGGTAAACATCCTTTTCAGGATGTCAGAGATTCTGCCTATTAAAAAAACAAAATCTCCTTTCTTTCATGAAATTGCCATTGTTCTTTATAATGCTAATTGAGAGGGAAATGAGCAGAAAAGTAAAACTCAGCAGGGTAACTGTCCTTAGAGGTTATCTGACCTAGACTGCCCCCTTTTGGAGAACTTGTCAATTACATTTTTAAGTATCTCTAACGGGTGAGCTCTTTCTATGCAACTTCAGAGAACAAAAGCAAGGGTCTTTTTTGTATGAAAAACTTGTGTGGCAAGGACTTAGGGTGGCCACATCCAATTGCTGATCTGATACTCTCCCTATAAATTTCATCTCTGCTTCAAGCAATGCCAATGCTTTGCATTATTTTTATTGCTCCAGCATGGAACAAATCGGATTTCTTTTTAACAGAGTCTATGGAGATTCTCAGTCATCCAGGTCATAGTTATCTCAAAGATGCTTTTTCATGAGGCAACTGAACTTTCCAAGAAGCTTCCTGCATGAGAAGCAAAATGTCTTCAAATAAAAACAAGAAAGTTCAATTGCCTCATGAAAAAGCATATTTAGGATTTTAACAGAGGCAGCCACCAGTGTCACATGCTCAGATTTTTATTGCAGAAAGTTTGTAAATAAATAATGCAATGATGTTTGGATATTTCTTGTCCAATGAAGTGGTCAAGAAGAGCAACCATTCCAGTCTTTTTGCGATTTCTTTCTTTCTTTCTTTCTTTCTTTCTTTCTTTCTTTCTTTCTTTCTTTCTTTCTTTTGTTTTCATTCATTCATTCTCTATCAATAGAGAACTTCCATCAGATTCTTCAGATCAAGTTTCAGCATTTCTTTGAGACATTTTATAAGTTTGCAGACTTACAGCAAAGGGACCAATCTTACTGATTCATTCATTAATTTTATTTAGATCCCGCTTTTATTACTTTTATAAATAATTCAAGGCAGTGAACATGCATAATATCATTCCTCCTCCTATTTTCCCTATAACAACAACTGTGTGAGGTGGCATGGGCTGACAGGAAGTGACTGGCCCAAGATTGCCCAGCTGGCTTTCATGCCTAAGGCAGGACTAGAATTCACAGTCTCCAGGTTTCTAGCCTGGAGATTGGTCCCTTGACCATTAGACCAAATTGGCTCATAGTAGCTTACAGTAGTCATCTTGACAATATCTTCCTACAGTTTTATTTCCAAAAAGAGGGGCAATTTATATTTTCTAAGTTTTCAAAAAAGAAAAATGCAGCAGCGACATGTTATGCAGGTTTGGATAAGACATACGAGGAAAGGAGAATGGAGGGAAAAGTCAACTGTTTCATGATCAGATGAAAGGATGTCTTGTTGAATTGCTGAGTTCATGAACATTTGCCATCTCTGCCAAGTGCAATTTCCTGCGTCAGTATGCATAAAAGGTTGTGCCTTTGTGTTCCTCTTTGGAAAGTATCCAGATGGAGAGTTTATGTATTCTTGGCTCCTGGGAACAAATGCTGGCCAATAACTCAGTCAAACAGAGTTGAATTGAGGGCATGGTGTGGTCTGCCAATCAATCAGCATGACGTTCCAACTGAAGATGAGCTCAGTTGATCTTCGTTTCGCTTCCTTTTCCTTGTTCCCAGGATATCCAACAGGCAAAGTTCCCTGATAGGGAAGAAAAACTACAATGTAGTTTTACTTCAGACAATGTAAGCCAATTAATAATAATGGTCATTCAATTTATAGAACATATTTTGCTTAATTGAAGTAATGTTGTTTATAATAACCCTGAAAGATAGGTCAATATTATTTATTGGAACATACAGACATAACTTAATAGCCTGCCAAAGGCTGTAACTCTATCACTTTATACAGTCAAGAAAGTCAAGTGGAAATGATGTGTGCTACAATATCTTTGAGAGTTGGATGTACAGGTAGTCCTCAACTTGCGACCACAATTGAGCCCCAGATTCCTCTTGCTAAGTGAGACATTTGTTAAGTGAATGTTGCCCCATTTTATGACCTTTCTTGTCACAGTTGTTAATGGCTGTTAAGGTAGTATAGTGGTTGTAAAGTGAATCTGGCTTTCCCATTGACTTTGCTTTGTCAGAAATTTGCAAAAGGTAATTACAGAATCCGGGAACACTGCAACCTTCATAAATATCAGCCAGTTGCTAGAGTCCAAATTTTGATCATGTGACCATGGGATGCTGCAATTGTTGTAAGTTGAAAAATGGTCATAAGTCACTTTTTTCAGTGCTGTTGTAATTTTGCATGGTCACTAAATGAATAGTTGTAAGTCAAGGACTATCTGCATTGGTTAAGCAGGAGACCATGAAACCTTGGGTATAAAACCAGCTGGAGACTTTGGGCCACCCACTCTCAGCCCTAGGAAGGACAAACCACTTCCAAGAATCTTGCCAAGAAAAATTTAGGGACTTGTTTTCCTCAAAGGTACACCCACAATCTGTTACCAAATTGTAACAGAAAATCAAAAATTATTCATGTCATGACTACTTGTTTGTGTTCAAGGGAAAAATAAAACTCCCCCCCCCTCCTGCATGTATTGATTTAATCCAGTGATATAATAAATAGTAGAAATGGGAATGGTATTTTGATTCTATATTCGAAACAGAGTTTGACTATGTCTTTTTTGTTTGTTTATTATTTTGGAAATGAAAAACTAATAAGTTGAATTATTTTCTTTTTTTCAGAACAATGAAATGGTGGAGCTGCAGAGAATTAGGATGAAAGATGAAATCAGAGAGTATAAATTTAGGGAGGCGCGGCTTCTTCAGGATTACACTGAACTTGAAGAAGAAAACATTACTTTGCAAAAGCTGGTTTCCACACTGAAGCAGAATCAGGTGAGCAGAGATGGAGTTTTTAATAAAAGATTTAAAAAGCAGTAATGTCAAATTCTCAGATGCAGTAATAACTTATTACAAAATGCAGCCTATAAATAAGAGAGATGCTGTTTCAAGAAAATTTCTAGCATTTCAGTAACCAGTGCTTTTTTTCTAAAGAAAAAAAAAAAGGTGCCAGAACTCACACACGTCATACAACCCGCCTTGCCTGCCCCACAAGGTTCCATCCAAAAAAGGTGCCGGAACTCCGTTCTGGGCGTTCTATGAGGAAAAAAAGCCCTGTCAGTAACTATTGTAAGACAAAAATACCCACATGCCACCTGGGTCAATCCCTTGGAATCCATCTCACAGGCAAGAGCTTTCCCTAAACCTTCTAACAAGCCCACATGCAAAGTTTTTTTAAAAAACCTACTTAAAGCCTTTTCATCCTATATAGGCTAAAACTGACAAATTGAGACTTCCCAGGTGTAACGATGCTAAGAAAAAGACTGAGACATTTCTTGAGCAGAGGTTTGAAGCTGCAGGACACAGCTTGACAAACTCTGAGTTTATTGCTTCTTATATACTTTTTACATACATAGGCTTTACCAATAACTGCTGACATTTTACATTCATAAGTTTAACCTTTAGCTGTTGACATAAAGTAATTGAAAAATTCCTTCATATAAGCAACTATTTTCTAGTAACATATTACCTGTTCAGAGAGCAGGTAAAAACAAATACAGGTAGATTAAAAAGGAGAAAGAACTGACAAAGACAGGAAGAGATAAAGACAGGAAGAGATAAGGGGGAACTTAAAGCATATTATTTATTTAGGTAGGTAAGCTATTAAGTCAAAAGGGGGTGATCTTTTGGCTGCTTCCTTGGGACAAAGGGTATCAAAAGGTTATGAGGTTTGTGGGGGGGGAAGCATGGCAGTTTGCTGCGCGTGCTTTTTTCCCACACCCAGGAAGCCAACCGCAAATCAAGACTCAGGAAGGAAAATTTTCTCAAAATAAGGAAATTTCTTAATCACTATACTGCCTCCCCCCATGCCAGACCCCTCACTCAAATCCCAGACCCCTGATTAAGGTAATCTGCAGGGCGAGAGAAAACATTTCCTCACCATCCTCATGGCAAACACCTCAATTGACATATCTGAATAAAACTACCCTTTTCTTCAAGCAGCTACCCTGTATATTTATTTGGGACCCAGTTGGAACTGAACCCAAAACTTTCGTCTGACACTATGTTGAGCCTTAACTTAATAAGGCTTAAACAGGTTTGTAGTAGAGTATTTACTAGTAATTTGATTGAGACAATATGTTGAATCATTCTAAGAATAATTCTAAAGGCATCTTACTACAACACCAATGTAATTCGATATTACATGGGATTAGCATGGTCATCAAATATATATATATTGAATAAGAATCCCCTGGATATATATGTCCATAGAGATGACTTTTTAACTCAGATAAATAGGAAAACAATATTTAAAGTATCTTTAAAGTCACTTCAAAATAGAAAAGAAGGAAAAGAATTTTGTTGTAATTTATGGATCAGTTAAAGGGATCACTATTATTGAGAAAGGCCAATTTTGAGTCAGAGACTAGGGCATCAGAAGGAATTACAGCATTTGATTGATAATTCCTTTTTGCAAATAACAATAATGCAAATTACAGGAGAATTCTGGCCTATTGCATATGAAGTCCGTTGCATTGAAGTATAGTAAAATTAGGTTTTCAGTGTATACTGAATACTCTGAAGAATTAATTAATATATATTATAATAATAACTACTATCACTTTTTATCAATGCAATGAAATCTTGATTTTAGTAACAATTTGAGATGAGAGGATGTTCATTGTTCCCAAATGCCCATTAAATACAGAAGTATATTTATGCAATTGTCTTTATACAAATAATGCAAATTCATAATTGACATTAGTTTGTTGTTTTATATATTTAAATGACATAATTAAGCCATTTGCATAATTATGCCATTTTGGAAATAATAATAATAATAATAATAATAATAATAATAATAATAATAATAATAATAATAATAATAATAATAAAGTTGGAAGGGATCTTGGAGGTCATCTAGTCCAACCCCCTGCTCAAGCAGGAAACCCTATACCATTTTGGACAAATGGCTGTCCAGTTGTAAATGTCCATCATTTACAAATGATGTAAATCAAAGTGAATAAGGTAAATGTAATTTCTTTTGGTAATTTTAAATCCCTTGCCCAGACTTCAAGAATATGTTTACCCTTTCAGAATGGAAATTTTGCCGTTCCGCTCCCAATTTACAAAATGGGGATTCTTTTAAGGAAAATAAATGGCTTTGTGTTTTCTTGGCTTCAGCACAGCTCAGGCTTTTGGTTACAAAATATGTAAGGATTTGACTATCAACCCAGTTTTTGTTACAGTAACTTTTAAACAACTTTTATGCAGTGTCAGAGCAGGCACACTGGCTGCCCTATTTAAGAAGCCAAGAGCATGCTAAACTGATTTGAAATATTTAGTTATAACATATATAACAAACACACCTACCATTCATACATATGAACACAAGTTATCTAAAGGATTGAACTACTAAAAGGGAAGTAAGAAGAAGAAAATAAAACCTTTATTTTCCACATAGTAGACCAAAGGGCTTTGAGAAAGGGCTCTCTATCCAGATGAAATGAAGGTGAATCTTAACTTCCCTATACTATAGCAATAGCACTTAGACTTATATACCGCTCCATGATGCTTTTAACCCTCTCAAAGCTGCTTACAGAGGCAGCCTATTGCCCCCAACAATTAGGGTCTTCATTTTACTGACCTCAGAAGGATGAAGGGCTAAGTTAGCAGTTGGGAGAATTAGCCTGTATTCTTACCATTGTGCCGCAGTCCTTATGCATTCATCTTTTATATTTTTTAATATATATATATATATATATATGTGTGTGTGTGTGTGTGTGTGTGTGTGTGTGTGTATACACACACACACACACAGAGAGAGAGAGAGAGAGAGAGAGAGAGAGAGAGAGAGAGAGAGAGTGAGAGAGTGTTTTACATCTTTCATTCATCTTTTATATTTTTCTCAGTTACAGTTATCCCTGGTAATTCTTACTGCTTATATTCTTACACTTTGTTCTAGCCTTGTTTGTTTCTTTCTCTTTGATATATTTAGTTTCTTTTTCAAGGAAATAACACAATAACTGCTTTGTTTATTTGTACTAACCATGCAATTCATGTTAGACAACCTTTAGTTATCAGTCCTGAAGGATGCTAATTGAAGGTTACATCTGCATTCTTCAGCTGTTTTATCGTTCCCCTTTCTCCTTTTTTTCCTTTTGGCTCAGCCAGTCTCGGAAAACATATAAAATAATATATTTAGGGAACAGAATGTAAAAAAAATAAAGGTACTATGCAGAGATTGGAGAAAATTTAAATTACTAAGCATTGACAACAACTCGATGACACGTAGTCAATTTACCAAACATGAAATCAAGGACTGTTGTGTGTCAGGGGAAAAACTTGTTAAAGAGAAACAAAAGACAACACACAACAAAATTCTCACTTTAGGATCCAGAGATTTATTTAAATTTGACCCACGAATTCAGTACTTACATTTCAACAACTTATTGCAATAAGGATCAAATGGACAGCAGTCATTATGTGTGATGGCTGGGCCAGGTGGCAACACCCAAATCTTTGAGGCAGGCTTTATACCTTAACATTGTGCCCACCTCTAGCATTTTGGCATCACCCACTAGCCATCCCATTTCCCTTTCCTTGTTAAACATATCATATTTCTCAGAATCCTCCCTCGGGTCACCTCCCTATTCTTGGAACTGACCATTAGGATAGTTCCTTATTCTTCTATTGTTGTCCTGGTTACTGGGCCACTTCCCTGTTCTTTCCTATCCTTGTTCTAACCACTACTTTCCTCACTACCATTCCTACATGTGTCATTGTAAAAGTTGCACCCATACACAGAGCTCAGTTCTTCTTTTCTCCTACATTCTTGTTCTATGTTCCTTTTTAAGAAATTCATGCCGACCACAAACAGTCATTTTTTCCGGTTGAAGATCAGCAGCAAGCAAAAGCCAAGTGCTAGTTAGCAAGTTCAAATCTAAAATATGATTAATCAATTAGATCACTCATAAAATAGTTATCGATATATTTTTCCTTTCACACTTCTTCTCCTTCAGGACAACACCACAGTTAGGACCAGTAATATAGAAAACATACATTACATTAACACAGGAGGGCATCACAGTGTTATACAAATTTTAAAAAGTGGCAATAAACAATAACAATAACAATAACCATAGGCCATACAGCAGGCATGAGGCATCCTTTTATGCAGAGCACTTCCTTCATGCACCTCTGGGCTTCCATTGTGCTGGGAAAGGTAGCATAAAGGTCTTCAGTTGTCTGAGAAAAGCAAATCGGAGCCCACTGCTTGTTGGTGCTGTCTGGGCCGAAGATTGTATGCTGGTGGGGAGCAGAGGTTACTAGCACTTGCTCCCTTATTGAACATAGCTTCAATCTTTGTCTCATTGGATTTGGATAGCTGGGGTTGCACAGCTTCCTCATCTGGGGCCAGTGCCTTCATACAGGGCAAAGCATGCACCTAGGAGGTCAGCTGTTGACACTTCACAGCAGTGTTGGTGGTCAACAGGATCTCCTTCCAACGAGGAGCCAGGCAATTCTTATGCTGAAATACTTTTGTCAGAACCAAATCACCAACTTTCAATGAATGGCAGGGATGTAATGATTTCTTGGGCATAGCTGCTGCAACCTGTGAATGACAGTCTTTATAAGATGTGAGAAGAGCTTGGCAAGAGGTCAACATAACAGCGACAACATATGAATGTCTTTCAGATATAGGAATGCCGGGGGAGAGGCTGGCATCCGCATGGGTTTGCTCACTAATATCTAATGTGGAGAGAGTCCAGCCTGTTGAGAAAGAATATAAAGAATCAAGAGGCAAAGTCAAAATTAGGCAGCGTTGTAGTTAAAATGCAAGGCAGCAAACAACAAAGAAGAGTGAACATTTGTCCTTATGCCAGAAAAGGAATTAGGAACTCTCAGCAAATACTTTTTACAGAGACAATCCCTGAATATAATCTTCTTATGCAAAGAACATCTTTGTTTATAGTCCTTTTAAAAATCTGTAATTACTGTGGCCTGAATAGCACAATTAGAAACACTTGAACTCTTTGTTGTTGTTTTTAACTTTCCTCTTTTGAATATGATGGTTATCTTAAAGGTCAGTTCATTTTACTGAGAATGTGCATCATGAAATGGGCTTGATAATGTTCATTTTGGTGACGGGAACCGTACAAATCTCGGTTACTCTTATGACTTATGCCTTATTAAGTAAAATATAGTGATTGAATTGTTATATATTAGTGGAGATAACATTTAGCACCAGAATTGCCATATATTAGCAGAGATAAAATATAACAAAATAACAGTTGGAAAGGACCTCAGAGGTCTTCTATTACAACCCCCTGCTCAAGCGGGAGACCTTATACCAGGGATTCACCAACTCCTGAGCCACATACTGGTATCGGTCCATGGGCTGTTAGGAACTGGGTCACACAGCTGGAGGTGGATGGCTGGCAAGTGAGTGAAGCTTCATCTCTGTTTGCAGTCACTCCCCAGTTCCACCTCAGATCATCAGGCATTAAGATTCTCATAGGTATGTAAACTCTATTGTAAACTGCATACATGAGTGATCTAGGCTGTGTGTTCATCCTCCACCCTCTGATCCATGGAAAAATTGTCTTCCACAAAACTGGTCCCTGGTGCCAAAAGGTTGAGGATCACTGCCTTATACCATTCCAGATGAGTGGCTGTCCAGTCTTTTCTTAAAACCCACAACTTCTGGAGGCAAGCCATTCCACAGGTTAATTGTTCTCACTCTTAGGAAATTTATCCTTAGTTTAGGTTGCTTCTCTCCTTGATTAGTTTCCATCATTTCTTCTCTTACTTTCTGGGGCTTTGGAAAACAGGCTGACTTCTAATTCTATTGTTATATTTTATCTCTGCTAATATATGGCAATTCTGTAGTGACACAATTGTCAATTATTAGCAGAGATAAAATATAATGATAGAATTACCAAGACCTCATGGGGCTAAGTTTATTAAATTTGTAATATCTCCTTTCCTTACCCATTGCATAATTCCTCATTTGTAGACATTTATTTGAACAGATGCGGCAAATGGCAGATTGTGTATAAATCCAACTTTTAGCATTATGAATCTTCTTTATTTTATTTAATTCAGGTTGAATATGAAGGCTTGAAACATGAGATAAAACGATTTGAGGAAGAGACGGTGTTGCTTAATAGCCAGCTAGAAGACGCCATCCGGTTGAAAGAGATTGCAGACCATCAGCTAGAGGAGGCCTTGGAGACATTAAAGAATGAAAGAGAGCAGAAGAATAATCTGAGGAAGGAACTGTCTCAGTATATCAATTTAAATGATAGCATGTATAATAATCATATTAATATCTCAGTAGATGGATTAAAATTTGGAGAAGATGGGAATGAACCTAATAATGATGACAAAATGAATGGACACATTCATGGACCTCACATGAAACTGAATGGGGATTTTCGGACTCCCAGCGTCAGGAAAGGAGAATCTTTGCACCCGGTCTCTGATCTCTTCAGTGAGCTGAACATCTCTGAAATGCAGAAACTGAAGCAGCAGCTCATGCAGGTAACATGGAAGATTCAAGAGATTCTTTACAAGAAGAGATCATCTTACTTACAAATGTTCATATTGTGTGCAAAGATACCAAGAGCATTTATTTCTCTGAGAAAAATTATTTGGGAAAAAGAAGTAAACATACCTTTTTTTTTTTAAAAAAAAAGCATTTCTCCACTTCAAATATACTGTATCTTAACGACGTGATTTCATGTTTTATGTATTTTTCATTTTGGCGTCCTTAGTGGTCCCTGAGATTGATGGTTTTCTTGCAGACATTTCATTACCAAACTAGGTAACGTCATCAGGAAATTAAATGAAATGTCTGCAAGAAAATCACCAATCTCAGGGACCTCTAAAGACCCCATAGTTCAGACATGTTAAACTCACGACGTCACGTGATGTTGTGCAACGTATCAGAGCTTTTCCCCCATTGCCAGCAATGCGGTGGGCGCGGTTTCCTGGTGACACGTCCGGCCCATTGGCCGGCAGTTTGACACCCCTGTCATAGTTCAACCCTCAGCTACACGCATTCTCTTCTATCAATTGTTCACTTTTTTTTGTTGGATTCATTTTTGAATTGCTACTGCCATTTTACTGCTTTTTTTTTTGTAGCCCACTGTTATGATCCAGGTAGTCAAGGCATGGCATGCCTTTAGAGTTCTTTATTGCTCTTGAGAAGTGTTCAACAAATGGTCTTCCAATGACCAGTAAGGCTCCACCCACAGTCCCCAATATAATAGTCCATAAATTAGGAAGAAAGTCCACAAGGCAAAAGTCCAGACATAAGATAAATTCCTCAGGGCAATAACAAGGTACAAGGCAGAGACAGCTCAGAGGTAAAACAAAGAGCTAAAACAATCCACAAAGTTAGGGCAAGACAAACAGCAGTCACCAAAGCAAGGCAAGTCATGAGTCAAAGCTGGAGGAATATAATCCAAAACAAACAATTATTCCTGGCAAGACTAACTCCCGCCTATGGCTTGCCCTTGGATCAAGTGGAGTAGGCAATTGTTCCTCATCATAGGGGATTAACTGCCTGTCTACACTGTTGTCAGCAGCCACTCCTCCCCTGTATCTGTGCAGGCAGGCAGTTCTCTGTCTTGTCCTCCACCTCCCCCAATGCCTGAGGGGGCCAGGATTGCATCACCCACAGCCCCTGGCTTGCCTTCCTTCTCAGCCACTCCCGGTTCCAACTCTTCCTCCGAATCGGCCTCTAAGGAGGCCATGATACCCACCTAACATAAAAATAAACATAAAAATAAAAAATAATTCAGCAGGATTGAGCCAAGGTCCATCTAAGCCTAGCATTTGTTTTTCACAATGGCCAGCTGGAGACATACCTTCTCCCACACTTATTTCCTGCAGCTGGTATTTAGAGGAAAGTTGTTCCCAACCCAAGGGGTCCCAAGAACTGCTTGCTCTGCCTCCCTCTGTAGTAGTTGTAGCTTCCGAAATGCTCTTCAAGAGTAGCCCTATGAAGGCCACATTGCAACAGTCCAAGCGTGAGATGACGAAGGCTTGAGCGACTGAGCATGTATTAAAGTGGATCATTTTATTTACATTTATATCTTAATACTTTGACTTTATATACTTAGTACCTCCCCATTCATTTGGGAAAGGCAAGGGAGGTCCCTTGCAGGTTGTAAACTCAACTGAATTGACAAATTTCCAAGTTATTGCTTCCTGATGCTACCTAAGATCATTGCCAGCCTTGCTTTGTTTACTGGGAGAAGTCAATTGTTATATTGCCCTCTATCTCCATCTGAATGGGTGACCCTGCTTCAACAGAAGAGCTCATTTACCTCCTATTTAACAGAGATTTTGACCAGTGTTGTCTTGTTTTTCTGATGTTCTTTACAGAACCTGATTGTCTTTCTAATGGAATACTTTATAAGTCTATTTTGCACTACAATACAATTTGACTTGTCCCATCTTTTGCCATTCTACTTTTTGCCCCAGCATTTACATTACCAAGTAAAGGATTTTCAGTGCCTCCAGTGCTGTGAACCAATGATAGTTTATGTTTTCCTTCTGTAGCAATGTATAAATTGTGATGCTGAGAGCATTGTGAAATTAATCCCAAGCATCCATTTCTTCCATATGGAATGAATTGGGAAAAGATCTCTATCGTCTTGTGTGTTTTGATTGGGTGTGGGAACAGCAGGCTAAGGAATCCAGAGTTCCTGGCATAACATGTTCCCTTGTATAGATTTTCAGTTTAGTGGCAATTGCCATGTCTTATGTTAATGCATTCCTCAAGTTAATTCTTTGTTCCAGTCAGCTTCATTGGATGATTTGTGGTCTCAGTATTTGTACGGGGAAAGAAAAAAAAATATTTCTGTTGATTTTCTCCATACCATGTACAATTCCATATACCTTAAACATGCAGCCTTTCAATAACCATTTTGCAAACCTAAAAAAACTCAATCATTTTTTTCTTGTAGACAAAGAGCCCAATCCCTCTACTCACTTTGATTGCCATTTTTTAACACTTTTTCCAGCGCTGTTTTATTTTGCAATCAGAATTGTACATCAGATCCTAGAGATAGATATAGCACAGATTTTATAACAGCATCTATGATTTGGTTGTTTGATTTTCAATCCCTTTCTTAGGACTGGCTATACAGATTTTACAGATGCTGCATACTAACCTGTCATTATGAGATTGCAACAGGATATAAATCCAATCATTCAATCTTCAGCTGTGCTCTAATTATATTTCCATTAAATGTTTTCATAAATTATTTTTTATGCATCAAGAGATTTGAAATAGTAATGACTACAATGCAGCAAACTAATTAAGTTTGGTTTTGTTATTGCTCATCAAGCAATTTTTGTCAGTGTATGTTTTATAGTTAAATTGTTAGAATATTTTTTTTCAGATGCACTAAAATATGCATTTGAAACTGTACATTGAAGTTTTTCAGGTTTAGAAAAATTATAGGCAATGTTTGATACCCCTTAGTCTCATTTTAATAGCTGGCTTATATTCATGAGGAAGTTCGTATTTGCTTTGATGCTGATCAGCTGCAAAGCGGTTGCTGCACCATTAGATGTTTTATGACAGTGTCGGTCAAACTTGAATTGAAGTTCACACATCTTCAAGTTGCCAAGACTGAGAAACCTGCTTTATGATAAGGACAAAGCAGTAATAAAACAGACATACCGCTCAAGCTATTTCTATTAGGTATCTTAAATGTCTAAGCTTTTTTCAGATGATGGAAAAGCGATTCAGATTTTATTTATTTTTTAAAAGACTCACATAGATTTATATTTTATACACAGTCCACTTGTCTGCCAAGTAGCATTTGAAATAGTGCATTTGATAAAGCTTTGATTATTTTAGCTGTATGCGGTTGATTAGGAAATACGACTTAATTAGGAGGAACATGCTTCTTGAATTGTGCAGCAATCCATGCACACATACAGGTAATCCTTGACTTACAACCACAATTGGGACCAGAATTGCTGTTGCTAAGCAAGGCAGTTTTTAAGTGAGTCAGACTACCTTTCTTTGCCTCAGTTTTAAAGAGAATCATGCGGTCATTAAACAAAGCTGGCTTCCCCCATTGACTTTGCTTGTCAGAAACCAGCTAGGACGATTGCAAATAGCAACCAGATAATCCTGAAATGCTGCAACCCTCCTAAATACATGCTCATTGCCAAGAACCCAAATTTCACGTGGCTATGGGGATGCAGTGACAGCCTAAGTGCAAGGATAATTATAAGTTACTTTTTTCAGTGCCATTGTAACTTCAAATGGTTGGTGGTTAAGTCAAGGATACTTGCGCAGTATAAGGTTCCGCTTTTAAACTGCGCCTTTAATTGTAGAGCCCTTGTACCCCAGTTCCTTTCTTGAGATATTTATATCCTTTTTCTGGGCTATCGCAGGTGGAGCGCGAGAAAGCTATTCTGCTGGCAAATCTTCAGGAATCTCAGACCCAGCTGGAACACACCAAAGGGGCCCTCACTGAGCAGCACGAACGGGTCCATAGGCTCACTGAACATGTCAACTCAATGAGAGGTCTGCAAAGCCACAAAGAGCAGAAAGATGTGGATTTTGAGAAAGGCCGGGATTCTGGGGAAGAAACCCATGATTATGAAGTGGACATAAACGGCTTAGAGATCCTAGAGTGTAAATACAAGGTAGCTGTTACTGAGGTGATCGACCTCAAAGCCGAAATCAAAGCCTTAAAAGAGAAGTATAATAAATGTGTGGAAAGCTACACTGAAGAAAAGGACAAGTATGAGAGCAAGATCCAAATCTACGATGAGCAGGTATCCGGCTTAGAAAAGTCAACAAAGGAAAGCCATGAGAAAATGATGCAGATGGAGAAGGAACTGCAAAGGATTACAGGCATCGCCAACGAGAACCACAACACCCTCAATGCCGCTCAAGATGAGCTGGTGACTTTCAGTGAAGAGCTCGCTCAGCTCTATCATCATGTCTGTCTCTGCAACAATGAGACGCCCAATAGGGTTATGCTGGACTATTACAGGCAAAGCCGAGTTACTAGAAGCGGGAGCTTGAAGGGGCCTGATGATCCAAGAGGACGTCTATCTCCCCGCCTTGCCAGGAGAGCAACGGTGCTCCCTGTAGAAGCCAGGGCGCCAACGGAACAGGGTTCAAAAGAGAACACTGAAGCCAATAAAGAGCCAAGTCCAACAAAGACCCCCACCATTTCTCCTGTCATTACAGCCCCTCCTTCCTCCCCAGTTTCTGACACCAGTGACATTCGGAAAGAGCCGATGAATATTTACAACCTCAATGCCATAATACGGGACCAAATCAAGCATTTGCAGAAAGCGGTAGACCGGTCGCTGCAGCTGTCCCGGCAGCGCGCAGCGGCCCGTGAACTGGCACCTATGATTGATAAGGACAAGGAGGCTTTGATGGAAGAAATAATGAAATTAAAGTCCCTGCTGAGTACAAAACGGGAGCAGATAGCAACCCTCAGGGCAGTGTTGAAAGCCAACAAGCAGGTAATTTGGAAACTGTAATATCCTTTTTATAATTAGGTATATAATTTATGCATTTTAAAATGGCTTAAAGAGCGATTTTACAATTGATTTTACAATTTACTTTTGAGCTTTTGTGAAATGAAACAGTGGAATATTCTTAGGTTTGTATGAAGTCCCAAAAGACAAGAAACAAGTACATTTTGCTAATTACATTTCAAATCAACTTGGATTAAATTTGTACCCTTGTTCTGATACAGTTAGAAAATTCTGATCTGGTTTCAAGCTGGATCATGAAAGAAATGCACTGGATGAGCTACTTGAAAAGAAAGTACAGGTAGTCCTTGACTTACGATCATTTTACAACTTTTCTTTTCACAGTTGTTAAGTGAATCACTGCATGGTTGTTAAGTGAATCTAGCTTCCCCATTGATTTTGCTTGTCAGAAAGTTACAAAAAGATGATCACATGACCCAGGGATACTGCAACTGTCATAAATATGAGTCAGTTGCCAAGCATCTGTATTTTGATCACATGATCATGGGGATGCTGCAATGGTCATAAGTGTGAAAAATGGCCATAAGTCACTTTTTCAGTGCCGTTGTAACTTTAAATGGTCACTAAATGAACTGTTGTAAATCAAGGACTACCTGTACTTTATTTGATAGCATAGAGTTCAGCTATTGAGATAGCTACAAATTTGTGGTATTGGGACTGGTAATATTACAGGAAAATTGGACCTTCGTGAGGTGTGTGAATGTATCATAGATCTTTTCCCTTTTATGTGTGTCTATGTGCTGAAGTTGGGGTGCAACATTTATATATTCAGGAAAGCTGTGTTGGAAAAATCAGGTCCAGTTCCAACCCAGGAAAAAGACACTGAAAAATAAAATGGAGGCTAGCTGCTTAGGAAAGAAGGTCTCTGTTTATTGATGAACAGAACCGACAACAGCATGTGATTCTGGGACAGCTGACAAAATAGAGTTGAGAGTAGGTGGGGTTTTATACATTCTTTTGTTGTAGAAGTGAGAGACTTGAGTCAGCTCTTTTGTGGGAGGAAAGTTTATTTGCGCAGGTTCAGAGAGCTGATCACAGCTTAAAGGGTCTGAACGCTCAACAGGGGCATGGGTGATCATATTTATAACCCCCAATACGTAAGTATTTCCTGATCAAGACATATTCCATACATGGTTACATTCTATAGTTCCTTATTCTAACATAGGAAGGTTACTAGACATGGTTATAATCTATAGTTCCTCATTTAACATAGGAATGCTTTTAGCAGTTAGCAATATTTCAAGTGATAAGCAGTTTGCAATATATCACGTGCAGAGTTTATTTATTTATTTATTTATTTATGAGACTTATATACCGCTTTAAGTGCAAGCACTCTCTAAGCGGTGTACACCAGTAAGCAATGTATATATATATTTACATTGCCCCCAACAATCTGGGTCCTCATTTTACCTACCCCGGAAGGATGGAAGGCTGAGTCAACCTTGGGCCGGTGAGATTTGAACCACTGACCTGCTGAACACAGTCAGCTAAAGTGGCCTGCAGTACTGCACTCTAACTGCTGCGCCACCTCGGCTCTATTGAAAACAGGATATCTGGCATTTCTAAATTTAAGTGTTGTCTGGGAAGAGGAAAACCTCCCTTTCACCCACAATTTCTGTCTGACAATCAATATTTTTCCAGCCTCCCACTTTACTTTGGGACTTTGTGTTTGAGATGCCTGTTCCTTGTGAAATGTACTTTGACCTGTGTTTGAATGTGCCCTTTTCCTATTCTAAATATTGTTGCCTGACTCCCATTGTGGCTGGGAGATCATGTCCTTGGAGCTGGATGGGGATTGTAGATTTTAGGAGTCTCTGTTATTCTAATCCCATCAGCTCCATCCTTCTGTGGGAGCTGTGGCTGAAGGCATTTTGCTTATGAATGGGGGGCCCAAAATTTCCATTTCTAAAGACTTCAGGCTTCTGCTTGAAACTGTTTTTCCTATTTCTGCCTTTAACAACATGTTTCTCCTCCTGTCCTTTAGAGGGAATATAATATTCCCTCAAATATTTCATTCTCTAGGGGAAGGGGCTTCCCATCTGTTTGCTATTCTTTGTGAGCGATATAGTTTTATCAGTTTCAGCCTGGCTGAACTTATCTGGCTGTTAATTATTGGCTGAAATAAGTTTAAGGGATTCTCGCACCATTATTTCTTCTTGCAATCTTGTGTGTTCTGGCTTCAGGTGAGGCTGTGAGTTTCATGAATAGAGAAGGTAGCAGGAATGGCATATGAATATGACATTTTATCCTACAATATATTTAATGAAGTTCCTCATTATGGAATTGTTCATATTTAAATTTCAGAAATTAGAGCTCTATAGTTTAGATATTTTGAGATATTGTGACACTTTGATTAGTTAATATGTCATGGATACTTGATTTTTGAAATATATCCTGGATGTTTGTTGAGACATTTCTCAGTGTTGTAGAAATCAAAGACTTGAATCAGCTCTTTCAGGAAAGGGAAGTTTATTGCACGCAGGTTCAGAGAGCCATCCTGGCTTAAACAGTCTGAACTCAGATTGTACATTGAAGACCATTTTTATAACCCTTTCTGGCGGGGGTTATTTTTAGGTCACATTACATTCTATAGGTCCTTATTCTAACATAGGAAAACTACTAGACAGATCTATAATCAATAGCTCCTCGTTTACATTGGAATGTTTTTAGCAATCAGCAATATATCAAGTGTTAAGCAATTTAGATATACCATGTGACAGGCAGTTAGTAATATATCATGTGCAGAGCTGGGAACAGGATGTCTGGCCATCCTAAATTTAAGAGTTGTCTTGTAAGCAAAACAAACTTCTCTTTTACCCACATTTTTGTTGGGCCATCTGCTTTTTATACACATCCTTTGTCGGACCATCAGTATTTTTCCAGGTACCACTTTATTCCCCCCTGATGAGACTTATCTCATCTATGCAGATAAGTTTCATTCCATAACACTTGGGTCTGATGTATGTATGTTGTTATACTCTTGTCTCTGGAATTCCAACATGTGAAGAACCACCCTTTAGGTAACCATATGTTTGCATACCCAAAAGACACTGTTTGGAAAGATGTGCAATTTAGCCTTTCTTGGCTCACTTTCAGGCAATGAGGTGAAGGTGTATTCTGCTCACACCCCGTGATATGTGCACATTGTAAGTCTTCTGGAATGGCTACATTAGGAGTATTTAAAGCTAAAGCATCAGTGGGTAGAAACTTGGAAATGTGACCCCAGCTGTACATTGTTTCATAGCCTATATGTTCTTTAAACTCGTGATGACTGAACTCCTTGGCTGCTGTGACAGGAACACATACGGGTATTAAACATGTGGACAGCAAATTTTCCATGTCATATGCTTCAGAAAGGCAAAAATCAGTTGTGTTGGCTAGTTTAGCCAATTGACCCACAAATTATATTGCATCCTTGACTCCAATGGATGGGGCATATCCTTATTCTGCTGGGACCTTTTACTTCGCTTTCTCTCTGGGCGCTTCCTCGGGGGTCTTTGGATAGTTACTCCAAATTCCACCGGGATAACATGTACGATGCAAGTCCCCTTCCATCCCGTCTTCAACTGCGAGACTAGGGTGACCCGCTCCCATCCCCAGAATAATGGAGGCCCACACTCCAGAGTAACAGGAGGAGGAGGCTTCTTATATGGGGCCTTTACACATATGCCTTTCCTAAGAATATACCCAACATACTGACAGGCTTCGGGATTGACAGGTGGTCTTGTAATACAGGCTTCTTTAACTATTCTGTCAAATGCTTGGGGAAATTGACAAGGATGAGGCCAGCTACCATTCCAGCATTCTGGGGAAAATCCAATAGGGGGGTGACCTTCACAAGTGCCCGTGCCTATAGCATAAGATTGGATAAGGCGTGGAGCTTCTTCTGGCTTGCTCCATTGGCCTAAATTAGAAAGACAAACATTATTACATGCAACAACAGTACTATATAAAAGCAGAAGGAAGCCTTTCATCCTTTCTTCTCCCGTGCGTAGAAAGCCAGCTTCCGGGTGTGGCTTAGCAGGGGGTTGAATTTCAGCCAGGCAGCCGTAGATATATGTGCAGGATACACTTGTACTAATACAATATCTGGTTTACAAACAATAAAATATTCATTAAACATACTAAACACGTTTTAAGAGTGAGTTTGGTGGGAACCTTGGGGTCCCTGTTCACTGTCCACAGAGGTTCTGCAGCTGCTTTAACTCTGGTCCAGTGAATCCAAGATTTAGATTCTGCAATCTTTATTGCTAAAGGAGAGGCCATTATTACTTCATAAGGTCCTTTTCATCTCCCCTCCAGTTGTTCATGTTTCCAATGTTTTACCCACACCTTATCCCCTGGTTTAAAGGGATGACATCTTGTTATTAGTTTAGAAGGTGTTTGTTCAACAACATAGTCCCTAAGTTTTTCCACTTGCTTATTCAGTTCCCCCATACTCCTCCCTGATGGCCCTTTACAATGCATAACTGAAACCTTTGCTGGCTTTTGTACTGCATCGAGAAGATGCTTTATCAAGTGTCCATGTAACCCATGTTTGCCAGCCGAATCCCTGAATCCCCTCTCCTTATACACAGCACCATGAGCATGCAGAGTTAGAAAAGCATATTTACTATCTGTCCAGACATTTAAAGTTTCCCCTTCAGCTCTTTCCAATGCTCTAATTAATGCCCACAATTCTGCCACTTGAGCACTGCAGTGTGCTCCTAGCGGACTACTTTCCACCACTTCCTCATCATTCACAATCGCATATCCAGAAACCCTCCTCCCATCCTGCATGTAACTCGAGCCGTCTGTATACCAATTCAGGGCAGCATCCTGAAGAGGAATATCAGATAAATCCGGACGGCTTGAATATACAGTTTCCAAAACTTGCAAGCAGTTGTGTTCTGAATCCACTTCTGTGGGCAATAGGGTGGCAGGGTTTAGCCGGTTAGACACCACTAATTTCACTTGAGGATTTTCAA